TATAATGATTCCTAGTAAATGTTCTTATTCAACCTGATGTGGTTCAAAATATCTGGAGATGATTACAGCTTTTTCCTTCTCCACTCATTACTTTTGAATTTTTGACATAATTACCAAATTAATGCCTTCACAGTACACTTATCAGTAACATAAGTGGTGTCCATACCCAACGAGGCTTATCTCTCTTACTTTTTGACACAGTACTGTAGATAACCAACGCATTTTTAAACCTAAAATTTTTATAAGAAGACCATTAGTTTATACTACGCAGTTGTGTTATTGTAAGCTCAGGGTGCGCCCTAAGAAACGCCTGATTTCGCGCCTTTACCACAACCTTAATTTTTAACATAGAGTTTATTGTTTTTCAGGTGTTTTGTGATGTATGATATGATATTTGTTCTCAGCAAGTTTCGTTGAGATATGTAAACTATGAAGCTAACTGTGTAGCAGAAAGCAACACTCGTAACTTGGTACCACAAGACGAAATTCTGCATCAAATATGGTTTGACAAATGGGAGAGACCTTCCTTGTGATAAAGTCATACGGAGATTGTTGGAAAATTTTGATTGTAAAGGGACAGTTTCAGGCTTCCATGAAACAGGAGGTGGCCAACGTGCAAACGACACCTTGAACGTGCAAGAAAGGTTGTGTCCAACTTTGGTGTGCGTGTCAAGGCCTGCATGAACCGAAATGGTGCACACATCGATAATGTCAACTACAAAAAAAAAAAAATTGCAGTGAATGATTATCAAAATGTCAAGATGTCCTTTTTGAGTTTCCCATTTGATATTTTAATTGAGTTATGTAATTACTTCACAATAAAGTCACGAAATCAGGCCATTATTTTGGTGCACCCTGTTCGACAAGTGCATCCTGAGTATTTGATATTACTACTTACAACTTATCTTTATAAAATTTCTGAGTGTATGTATTATAATTACTCAATATTGTAAATAGCACACAGCCTTGTCTAACTCTCTGTCCAGCCTTAGACCAATACAAGGAGTGAGTTAGTGACCCAGTTGGCTAAGAATCAGTGCCGGATTAACCATGAGGCACTTGAAGCACTGGCCTCAGGCCCCCCGACTCTAAGGGGCCCCCAAATCCAAACACACTCGAAGTTGAAGCATATAAAACATGAACTTCGTTCAACGATGTCCTAGCAACGTCTCAATTGTCTGTCTCTTATGAACATTAAATGTGTTATTTTGCAGAAGCTTAATATTGATGAAATCATTGATAAATTTGGGTATATTTTGTTCTTGTTATTTATATATACCTTGAGGGTAGGGGGCCCCAAGTTGATCTGTGCCTCAGGCCCCTATTAAGCTTAATCCGGCCCTGCTAAGAATCATCCATGACGCTCCATTATCCCCAGCGTGTATCATCCTCGTGGCCACACCATGCTTGGCCATATATAATATCCGTGGCCACACCTTCCGCATATTATTGATGTGGCCACTCCGTCCTGAACCTCGCATCAATCACGTTATCCTGTCCCCGTTGATTGTGTTCTAGGTGCTTCAGCTGCCAAAGTTATTAATAGACTACTGTATCTCACCTAACATTTTCACAGCAGGGACGCCACTTTTAATATTTTATTTGCCTAATACCAGACCATTTTATTCATCTCAGAGGGGACCCCGTACACAAGTGGTTAAGTGCCGTCGGGTATATCTTTAACAATAAGCTTCTGCAACAAGGAGAAGCCCATCTCAGAGCCGTACACCCTCGGTTACTTTTTCTTCATCACAACCTCTTGGAAACACCCACTGCGGTATACGTCTCTTTGATAGTGTTAGTAATGATCACGCGAGGTACTTACAGTCAACAGTGGTGATAACCTATCTGGGGTGCGTCTGGCTTTTTTGTTTCCATAAACTTTCACAATCCTGGTTTTCCGAGACTGAGTCAGTTATTGTTCTCGGATCCCGGGTTTCATATTGAACCAAAATATGGAATGTTACCTACAATACATTAATTAGGTATGAAACTAAAACAGTTCCCGAGGATTGTATTGAAAAATTACATCCATGTATTATATATAACATTTAAAATTTCAATGTTTAACTTTTACCGTAAGTTTTAAAATTTGCTTTGAAAAATAAGATAGCCTTTAAAGGGAAAAAATCAAATGAAAGAGAAAACCACAAAAGAAACATTATATACGAGTTATCAACTACCAAGTACAATATTAATCTTTGTTATTTTCATATTAACTTTAGAGTAAACAAAGACTATCAGTATTGCAACCATTAAGCCACGTTTGCATCTTAGTTATAAAGAGTTGATCAGAATGAAAATATTAGTTATAAATTTAGGTTCGTCGTTCCGTTACCTCGAACACATCCAACTCTTCTCCGAGGTTTACTCTTGTATTCGTCATTAGTTTTCTTTTTTTGTCAGCGTCGTTGTTTAATTTTGTGTGTGTGTGTGTGTGTGTGTGTGTGTGTGTGTGTGTGTGTGTGTGTGTGTGTGTGTGTGTGTGTGTGTGTGTGTGTGTGTGTGTGTGTGTGTGATGAAGCCTTGTCCTCTGGTACTGACTGAGACTCACACATTAAAAATAATATTCTTCTTCGTAACTTCATTGTTGTCTCTTAATGTTGACGTGAGTATTCCCTCATCGCCTTCCTCATTACTGTACAACTCTCTATAGTTAAATACTTCATAAACCTAAACTACAATTACCTCCTCGTTTCCTTGAGTCTGTTGTAGAGTTTTTATTTTTTTTTCTGTAAATGGCGAATTGTATTCCCTCATTTCATTAAGAATAGCCTTAGATATTGACGTAGATACTGATATTTTCTGATATCAGCTAATAATTACACACAGTAGCGAGTGGGTATAAAGGAAAATCTATTAGAAATAGTATTTTAGGATGTCGAAAGGTACAGACAAACCGACTGAAACTCCTTCCTAGTGACTATGTATGATGCAGTATATGGATCACAGACGATACTGTTGAGATACTGCTGAAAACCCTTCAAGAAAATTGAGATAACTTTATATATTACTGTTTCACAATAGACGTAAGAACAGAAGTATAAACTACAGTCTTTTGTTTTAGGTTCTCTTCTGGGCTAGGACAAAGAGTTACTGTTTGGCCCACATGCAGAGTCTAGTGTCAAACTAAAGATGAAAACACATATTGGACAACAGCATTACAGGTACTACAGTAATTTTCTCTAAGTCTCAGGGTAATAACGTGGTGCTCCAGCATGTAATTTTTATATTTGTTATTTTTGCATTCACTTGTGTGTTTACCTCGGTAGGGATACAGAGGGGTTATTCATCCCCAGCTGCAATAATTCGTATTTATCTTCTGTACAAGTTAGATGCAAAAATTAACTTATATCCTTAAAAATAAAATTGCTTAGTCACGATTCATTACTTTTCATGCACTATAGACCGTAATAACGACTCATGCAATACAATTTAACAGTGGCTTCTCTGGGTCCATCAGAAATATGAAAGCAGTTCTTATTCTTGATGTTTGTTTTTTTAGCCTTCTCTTAGCCTTTTCTGCCACCGTAGGAGTGATGGAGTGACATGTTTGATATAAGTTGTATGACGAGTAAAGGTTCTCCTGACAGCTGTGTTGAGGTCAGCTGCCATCTCATCATTTTAGCACAAGACAATGTTGTATAAAGTGGGCCCTTTCATCTGAATTTCTGATCAGAACGCTAAAAAAAATCTTTAAGAGAATATGGTTCTCTCTGAGGGGATCTTGTAAATATCTCCAATGACTATCGTAACATATAGTTGTCAAGTGTAGACTCAGACATGTTCTATTTGATCAATAATATCTGACTTCACCTGCAAGTTTTGTCTTTTGTCAAACCTTGCTCATGATAAAGAAGTCAGTGGCGATACACAAGGCCTTAGACGTCTGATCCAGCGAGTTTTTATATAAACTTTGTGCCACTCAGGATGGCAGGTTATGTCAAGAGACACCAATTAACTTGACTCCTTAAATACTGTATTAGCGTGTTTAGGCTATAAGTGAAATTGTGCATCTTGTGATCCGTCACAGGAGGAAAGACATGTAATAGTAGCCCTACTGAGCAGCTGCAGGTATCCAGCTGTTAATAGGGTTTGTCCTGCTATGAGTCACCCTGTTTGGACACCTGCTGGTTTCCAGTTAGACTTTTGTTCTTTGGTTGAGGTGAGGATATTATATGAGGAAGAATTTCCTTAGATTATAATTATCTCCCTGAAGTTGTATTGTGTCAACTTGCCTGTAGGGTAACGATGACTTGTACTAACGTTACCAGTGTTCATAATGTGTATATTATGTTTAAGGATTCAATTTAGTTACATATACGAATTGTTAGTGAAGATATTGTTAATTGATAACATCTCTCACATCTTTCACAGGTAGAGTTTAGTTTAAGATTCGACAGTTATCGTGTGGTGTTGTTGAAATGTTTGTGTTAGGTTATTGCTGGTCCCTAATAGTGGGAGGTGGTGGCACTGTTTCCCTTCACTCATTGCTCAAGTATTTCTCGTTCCTTGTTATCGAAGAAGCTGTGACGTCCCGAATAGACACCCGAGTTACTATATTGTGTTTGTCTACAGTAGCTTAGGTTAGGCAGTTGAAAGAGCAACATCCTTCTGAATTCTCTAAACATGATTCTTCCTGCCAGTTATTTCCCTCTTGTAGTTGGTTAACGTGGAACGTTTTGGTCCCAGTGCTGACAAATTTGGACAAGATATAAACAATTGAAACAAATCTGATAAAATTTACACTGTACAAGAGTAAAGTTCCCTTCGCGTCTTAAGTAATGATGTTCGAGTAGAAGTTGTCGAGTTAACAGGAGAGAAGTATCAGCAGTACTGTAGTAATTGTGCTACAAGGAATTTAGCCTTTTGCCTTATCAGCGAATGTAGATCTATATATTCATTTTAAGACAATGAACAATTTGGGAAATTAGCCTCCGTAATTGTTGCACTTTTCTAAAAGTGATTCTTAGACTCACGGAGGAGAAGGAGAATGAATATTTTTGTCTAGTATTTATTTAATAAAACTATTTACATCAGTGACACAGTCACAGTCAAAATATTTGAAAGTACATCAGTGATTCAGTCATAATGAGTGTATGTACACAGTATTGTTATGTATTTTAAGTTTCGTGATTAATGTGCTAATAAAGCTTCACTTCAGTAAAGGTTCACAAAGTGCGAATAGTAATAATAAAGATATGAATATTTGTAGTAGTCTAAACGGTACACTAGTATTAACAACAATGATAGTAGAAGTAATGTTAACAACAGTGCGCATGGTTTAGTAAGCCTTAACATGTAGATTATATTTTGAAGCCGGATTATTTTCTCCCTTGTCAAGTACATAAAAAAATCTTCACCAGAATAATTTTATCAACGATGATTTGTCAGTGTTAGAGGCGCGGCAGCGCCCCGTTGCCATCCGTAGAGGCTGTCCATTGGCAGGTAATAAGTAACGGTTGCAGAAAGATAACTAAGCCACTAGAACTTGGTGGAGTGCATCCAGCCGTGGCGGACGTCCAGTAAGTTTTCCTCAACCATCTCGTCCAGCATCTCGGTGACCTGATCCCGGAAGCTCACTTTAAGAGTGTCATCGGCGTCTGTAGGGAGGATTCTTATCTGTTGGAGGGCCTCGGCCTCAGTGTGCCACACAGAGAGTGACTCAAGGTGGAGGTCCATGAAGGTGGGTGTGTATTTCTCCTGCGTCTCCACTTTCGTTATCTGGGGGAATATTTTGGCTTAGATGAAGAATATATTGTACTGGTTGTTAGTGATCTCTTATACTGCACTGTACTTTATGCGCTGACTTATTAATGCTGTACTTTAATTTAAGTCATATTATTCTCTCTCATGTTGTGTGTGTTCTTGAGATTTCTGGCCAGTTCGCTTTTCGGCTATTTCAGCAGTGTGCCAGTTATACTTAGTTAATCCTCTACTTTATGTAATGTTAATCTTCAACATTATTAATCCTTTGCTTTTCGGAATATTTTACTTTACACGTTCCCACTATATACTATACTATACTATACTATACTATACTATACTATACTATACTATACTATACTATACTATTTAGAAGACAGACTATAACTTAGAAATAAATACATATATACTATGCTATGCTATACTATACTATACTATACTACTGTATACTATACTATACTTTACTATACTATACTATACTATACTACTGTATACTATACTACTGTATACTATACTATACTATACTATACTATACTATACTATACTACTGTATACTGTACTATACTATACTATACTATACTACTGTATACTATACTATACTATATTATACTATACTATACTATACTACTGTATACTATACTATACTATACTATATTATACTATACTATACTACTGTATACTATACTATACTATACTATACTATACTACTGTATACTATACTATACTATACTATACTATACTATACTATACTACTGTATACTATACTATACTATACTATACTACTGTATACTACTTGTATACTATACTATACTATACTATACTATACTATACTATACTACTGTATACTATACTACTGTATACTATATTATACTATACTATACTATACTACTGTATACTATACTATACTATACTATATTATACTACTGTATACTATACTATACTATACTATACTATACTATACTATACTACTGTATACTATATTATACTATACTATACTATACTACTGTATACTATACTATACTATACTATACTATACTACTGTATACTATACTATACTATACTATTTAGAAGACAGACTATAACTTAGACATAAATACATCACTCGCGTGCAGACTTAACTTACCAACCAGGGCTGAGGTTGTCCCTGAAGACCTTGGAAGCTGGTGATGGTCCGGGCGGTGGGCGTGCGGGCGTGTGGGCGGAGGGTGAGAGTTGTGTGGAGGTTAAGGACGCGGGGCAGGGCACGGGAGGAAACGAAGGCCATCTTGCTGTTCTGTATTGGAGTAAGAGGAAACACTCAAGCATATTTCAGTTACATAATTTTTAGTTTAGTGTTAATTGGAAATATGATTTTTTGTTTTCTCGGGCAATAGCCCACCCGGGCACAAGTCACTGACCCACATCGGGGCCTGGGGGTGGCGAAAATGTAGTGGTAGTAATAATAATAACCGCAGGATGGGATAAGTCATAAGGTACTTATTGTTTCGATATACTTTAAAAATATGGTAAAGATTCGAAAAAAGGCGACCTCGGAAAATAATAAGAACACAAGGTTTCCCTGGTGTATTTTGTGGTGTTTCAAGCGAATTTGACCTTCATTTTTGTTGCAAATGGAGATTTCACCCCAAATTACCAACAATATTGGTTGCACAAAGTTGGCAGAGCTTTGAAGTAGAGGGAATTTGTGGGGTAAAAAATGAGGAAACGAAACCTAACCAGAATGACCTGACCTAACTTCTTAACCCCTGGACTTAACTTAATCAACAGATGCTAGAGGATAAAAGTAACACTATTTGTAGGAGGAAGTGATGGTCGTCCTTTACCGATTCTTAACCTTTATAAGAACATAGGAATGGAGGAAACTGTAGCGGGTCTATTAGCTCATACTGGGCAGTCCCGTTTACACCCAACCCCTATTGCTCATATATCCGTCCAACCTATGTTTGAAGTTATCCAGCGTATTCGAGTTAATGATGATGTTTGGTAACTTGTTCCATTCATCCACTACTCTATTTTCAAACCAATGTTTACCTATTTCGCGCCTAAATCTAAATTTATCTAATTTAAAACCATTGTTACGAGTTCGCTCTTGGTTGGAAAGTTTGAGTACCTTTATAATGTCCCATTTGCTTAGCCCTGATTTCCATTTATACGCCTCTATCATATCGCCCCTCATTCTGCGTCTCTCGAGGGAGTGCAAATTAAGATTCTTTAACCTGTCTCTGTACTCAAGGTTCCTAATGCCAGTGATGATGCGTAAAACATTCATATACAATAATATCAACTTTGGTTTATGTTCGTCTTCCACCCATTCCTCTTCCAGTGTTTCTGAATACCCTAATATGTTATTTTTTTTTTAATTACGAATCAATTTTTAAGAGTAATGGTTCTTGTGCAAATATTAAGTTTTTAATAAATTTACCCTCAAACATACACCTACTTTCAGCTGCGCCAAGGTGACTTAACGGTCACCAGAGTGGGTAGGTTAGGTTAGCTTACGTTAGGTTTGGTTGAGCTACTTTCTTTTGATATGAGAATTAATTTTTCTCGTGTATTTTAGTCAAATATGACTTACATTTCTTGTGAAACTGGCTGTTTTGGGGGTTTTGTCGATTTTCTAGAAAAAAAAAGTTTATTTGCACAAGAAATGGTCATTGATCGCTATAAAAACAGCCCAATCCCACCCATTGTGAAAATTATGAACAACTCTCAGTGAACCACTGTGTTCACTCCCAGCCAATCTTATTTTTTTCCACTATTACTATGTTGAAATGCCCTGTAGTATGACCCTATCCGTACCTAGTTATTATATATCATATTGTATCACTATTACTTGTATATTATTAGTCAATCAAGTGATCCATTTCCCAATTACTGTATGTAAGTATATTTTCAGCCTTTTGACTGGCATACTCATTCAATAAACCGTTGATTATTATTATTATTATTATTATTATTATTAGTAGTAGTAGTAGTAGTAGTAGTAGTAGTAGTAGTATATTTGACTAAAACACCCAGATTCCCCAGAAAAACAATTTCCCTTATAAAACCTGGGGAATGGGCGAAAAACGAATAATTAATTCAACTTTAAATCCCCAAAAGAAAATAAGTGCATTATTTTAGTTTCAATCATCCAGGCAATCTTAAAAGGGGTCTGGTCGGCGCCCCCCCCGTTAGGTTGGTTATGTTAGGTTAGGTTACATTAGGTTAGATTGATTAGGTTAGGTTGAATCGGTAAGGTTAGTTTGGATATCTAAATATAGGGATGACCACTGAAACTGAAAATTTTACCCAAATATGAACGTTATTGAGAAAAGCATAAAGTGTACCATAAGGGTTTTAGCTTTCTTTGATACTCACATTTATATTAGACAACGAAGCCAAGTGATGTGTGGTGGTCGCGTCTTGGTGGCGGCTTTGAGGAACTGATGCTCTGACAGTGTGCTAGCCCCTTTTATGCCCGAATCGTTATCAGTGACAGTGGTTGTATAATAAAATTACTTCAGTATTAGATTACTTTTTGATTACATTTTTTTGGGGGTAAAACCTGAAGTCGCTCATTATGAATTGCTAATTTAACGACTTGAAAAACTCAATAAGCATGATTCTGTATTCCAACTTTTAATTTGTTTTTAAAACTTGTTTTTTTATCAGAGATGGCGTATACAAACGTTTGTCCTAATTTATTTTTAATTAAGAAGTGACCAGTTGGAGGGCGTTAGATGAGGTGATCGAAGCAGTGACAACTGGTTCTTCGTTACGTCACATGTTGGAGTCGTCGCTACACACTCGTAGATACTGAAAAGGTCACGGTATCAGTTATGTCTCGCGACCGCTAGTAAACATAGTGAGCGATAAACGAGCTATTTATAAACTGTAACTAAGTTATACCATAATCTAATAAGAACACCCTTGGCTGACATTGAAAGAAGAAAGTCGGAGTTTTCGTCCGTTCATGTAAATTTTTTTGGGGGGTCACCGGGTATACGGAAGATACGGCAGCCGTATGCGGAACGACGATGTTTATTGATACGACTGCGACAACCTAATGAGCACGTGTGGTGGGCAGACTAAACAATGGTAGTTACTAAGATGGCTTTCAATCTGGCTAACGTAACCTAACTTCTGCCATATGACACATTTTTATTTACCAAGTTCCAGGTTGCTGATCTTCCTTATTTACACATACAGTAATTGCAGGGTCTCAATTGTTTCTTTCTTTGACAACACAACATATATACCGTTTCTCACTCTTGACGTGTTTATTTGTTTGTTTTTCCATTTCTGTATTTATTTTTGGTTCAACGCCCCCCCCCCACCTCCCCAGGCCCCGATGTAGGTCGGTTACCTGTGCCTGGGTGGGCTAATCCCCATTAAAAAAACTAATAATAACACGGTCAATCATTACAGCTGCCGTACCTATATCCAATACGTTTGTAATGAGTGGTTTGATTTGTGTCCGTTTGCACCTGTTTGCTTGCGTCAAAATATATTCTTTCCTGTTTTGAGTTGCTGGGAACTGCTGTTTCTTACATAGCAGAACAAAATTTCGCCTGACTTATGGCTGACTTAATTTTTTATCAAGAGTTATGGACCTACAGTATATGAACCGCCCTATTCCAGAGTGTCAGAAAAAAGCATAAGAAAATCCTTTAGTGAGACGTCCATACTTGAGATTCATCTCCCTTGGCAACTGTTGAAACTGGCGTAATAAACTAGTGTTGTTACTTCTCACTTGTCGTAAAATATCTCACATTTTTTGTGGTAAACATCAACACAATAATTATTTTCCTATCTTAAGTCTGAGATTCTGAGTTATCAGACCATATACCTGTACCGCCAATACTGATACGCTGAATACAGAACGGTACTACATTAACACTAATTCAATATAGAATGGCAGTGTTATAACATATTTGGTGCTTGGAAAGAAGCTACTTTTCTTATGGTAAATATAACATTAAATGTATGTCGCTTCATTAATTAAATCTGGTGAAATTAGTGTATTATATATGGATTTTCATCAGCCCGCAATGTACTCCTGGAAACCCGCCAACCTCAGTTTGAGAACAATTAAATATAAAATATTAAGTATAGTAGCCTAAGACAAATAAATGTAACGTCAGCGTCATGGGGGTAAACTGCTATTTATAAAGAGACAGTGATACCACATTTTTAGTCCTAACAGCTATCTGAGATACTCGTTTATCTTAAGTGTCTCAAATGCATGAGACCGGTGCATGTGTCAAGGAAACTGCGCACTGAATGATCAAATACATTATGAGTCAGGTGCATAGTGTATAACTTACCTCTGTATATTTGTTTAGTATTTACTGAAGCTTCAAGCTAGACTGTATCACTTCGTGTATATGAACGAAGTAATATATATATATATATATATATATATATATATATATATATATATATATATATATATATATATATATATATATATATATATATATATATATATGTGTGTGTGTGTGTGTGTATGCTGATAACCACAAGGAAAGAAGAAAACATCATAGAATCTAGTCTTATTAAACATACCGAAGCATTCAACATGAATTTGAGTAACGGCTTGTACAAGCTGGACAATTTTGTAATTAAGAAGATTTGTGACCAGGTGAGAAGGCCGGGTCACTTGACCATCTGACCTGACCACCAACCGTTGTGTGCTATTTAAAGATTAGTAGGGTCATTACCTAATACCTGACCATTGTGGACCTGGTCTCACCCTCCTCTGTATATATACACCTTGATTTGTATTACTCTCTCTAGTCTGTACTCACCCCTGAAGATGTGAATTACACGAAAGCGCTTGGGAACTTCGTGTTTTCTTCTTTCCTTGTGGTTATCAGCATATACCTAGATCACGCGCACCTACAGTTATTTACTTGCATATATGTGTGTGTGTGTGTGAGTGATATTTGAAGTTATTACACACACACACACACACATATATATATATATATATATATATATATATATATATATATATATATATATATATATATATATATATATATATATATATATATATATGTGTGTGTGTGTGAGTGACATTTGAAGTTATTACACACACACACACACACACACACACACATATTTTTGAGGGTCAACTAACTTATTATTCTTTCCAACATCAGAGAAAACGGTTCATTCCTTCTTCTGGGAGATACTTGAGCCAACCCGACACATACCTACTGTGTGCTGCTTCTTGCTCAGCTGACTGGTGGGAAATATATGAACTGTTACAGAGAGTTGAGGGAAAGTAGAGAAAATGTATATTCTCTATTTTTTCACAATAAATATCACAGGGAGAGGTAAGATAAGTGTTTCTGTTAAATCTGCTTACTAAGGCGTCCCCTTAACAAAAAACTGGAGATACTGTAACAAGATTATTTGAAATGAACGAGGTTATATAACAGGAAAAACGCGATGAGGTAGATAGTTCCATGGAGGATTTAACACACTCCTTGAATCAACAGTTAAGGGCACGTACTCTTAGAGGCAGTTCGCACCTCAGAGAACACCACTCATTTGGGTGTTCATACCTATAGCTAGCGGATACCTCCCATCTAGAGGTGTGGTAACGACACACATTCTGGGGTACAAGTTTGAAATGAAATGTTAACGTAAGACTGTAAGGATTTCAAGGCTTTTTTTTTCACTATAATATACGGAGGAGAAATATCTAACCAAGTGCCCTCACAGTGATACCTTTATTCAACCCATGGATTTTACGAGTCTATTCAAGGCGTCATTCAGCTACGTGGGTCTGGCGTCACAGATCACACACAAAAGATTAAAATGGGATCGCGATAAATGAATTTGTTGCGACAAGGTGACGGAATATAATTGACTCGCACTGGATATTAGTCACATATAGTTTGTAGATATCGCCATAGGAAGCGTTAGAATATAAATAACCTATGCAAGAGGGATATAATTTCTTGAGCGTTTCCATCATTTATCCTGGGATTGCTGGTTTAATATATTTTTTAACTCCTGGTCACATAGTTGATACGAGTTAATACATTTATACAACACGCAAGCACTCTAAAGAACACTACTACTATTTTCTACTGTGAGTACAAAACAATATCTGTGGTTCGTATCTTATCTGTGTGACGACAGTTGGGGAACGTGTGAGCACTGTGGTGATGGGGAGAGTTGAGTCATGACATTGTTAAGGATACTCAGAGGTGGAGAATCTAACCAGGCATGATATTTCAAACCAATTTACAAAGATCAAAGATTAGAGACTGAGGTAAAGAATTGGGGAGAGAGAGAGAGAGAGAGGGAGGGAGAGAGAGGGAGGGAGAGAGAGGAGAGAGAGAGAGAGAGAGAGAGGAGAGGAGAGAGAGGGAGGGAGGGAGAGAGAGAGAGAGAGAGTTAATCAAGAGGAGGGATGAAAATTACCGGGAGTGAGAGGAAGGATCAGAAACTAAAATAGACAGAGAATGTGACAGAGACCAATAAAGGAGACAGGGGCTAGGAAAGAAGAGAGAGAGAGAGAGAGACTTGAGATCCAGCCAGACAGTAATAGAGTGACCTTAAGACAGAAACCAGGAAACAGACAGTAGAAACCCAAGGTATACAGGTCCTCCTCGAAGGTAAAGAACACCCAGGGTTTTGTTTTTTGTTTTTTGTTTGTGTCTTTTGTAATCCACTCATTATGTTGGAGTTGTCAAGGAGGTGCTCTATTCTTCCCGTCGTGTAAGACCTGAGAAAAAGGAAGAGCATTAGTCAAGTTCAGTGACTCGGGAGGAGGGAGAATAGGAAAGAGAGGAGGGGGGGAGAGTGGGGGGAGAGAGGAGGTGAGGGAGAGGGGAGAGAGAGGAGGAGGGAGGGAGGATAACTCGAACCTCAACCACGACCAATGACTGACAGGAGATATGTTTGTGTGTCACGTCTTCTACTCCTCCGGATCACCTGAAGATTAACCTCCCCTCGCAGCTCCTCTCACATGATGATTAAACACCTGTATGTTACTTGGGGGATTAGTATATATTAGGTTAGGTTAGGTTAGTTTGGTGTTTGGTTAAGTTAGGTTACTTTAGGGTGGTCAATCTTAAAGTAAAGTAAGCTGGGGGAGCTAATCTTCAGGTGATCCAGTCCTCCTGTTGTTACCTTCTGGGTGTTACTGCTTACCTATGGCCTGCTCAGCGAGGTTCACCTGGAAATAGTCAAATAATAATTTTTTTCATGACTCATTCTTCGATTTTTTTTTTTTTTTTTGGTGGAGGAAGAGAGAACGAGCGAGCAGGAGACATTGTGAAGAGACAGTGAAGCAACACCTTCTCACAGACACCTAAACACAGAGGTACATACAGTGTGTGTGTGTGTGTGTGTGTGTGTTTGTGTGTGTGTGTGTGTGTGTGTGTGTGTGTGTGTGTGTGTGTGTGTGTGTTTTTTGAGACAGATTGGGCCAGGCTGGGCAAACAATTATATACTGTAA